TTTCTCCAACTGATCTCACTTAGTCTAATTCTAGATCTCCATTAATCTACTGCCTGTATTAGGAATCTCTGCACAACTTTCAGTACAGCGTTCCTCTACTTCAGTGTCCACTGCATTATCAGAGCAGCGTGTGGCTAACAAATAATGCAGTAGTGTGGTTGTCAAACACTGCTGCTGTGCGTTCTGGAAAAGAATGTTTTTCAGTGCCAATAGTTGCAAACAAAGACATTTAGCTGAAAGATGGATCTTCTTTGTGAAGGGTTCTCTTAAATGCACCTGAGCAGACTGCATTGTGGGATAATGGAATAGTAGGTAACTTTATCAGATTCACGCACCTTTGCCTTCTGAGAGGAATAATAGCTTTGATCCTTGGTGTGCTTTCTAAATGTGTCCAGCAAAGAAGATTTCAGAAGCAGTGCTACTGATTATGAGTGAGGAGCAGCTCATCCAGCCAGCTCTCTATACATCAAGACAAAAGAAGTCATATTAAGCAAGAAATCTCATTCCAACCGTAGAACCCTTCATTCAAGCTTAACAAATAGGTAGCCATTCAAAAGCACGTACCAGAATTCTGCATGCCCTTACTCAGACAGGATACCATCAGTCACAGATGAGAGCTGTGGCTTGCCTCCATTTTCCTCTGATGCATTTAAGATGCGATCAAGAAAGTCCTGACAGATTTTGACTGGGTGAAAAAGAAGAATGTGTTTCTGTAGGGAAAAGCCAGAAGTGATAAAGATTATTTTCTATTGCCATTGCACAATTTGCTCACCATGTCTTTGGGATTATGTGTCCATTTGAGCATATAATTACAAGTTTATTACACGTTACGTGCTTTCCACAAATGTTTATAAATGTAGTTCAAGTGTATTAAAAAAAAAAAAGACTTGATTGTATCCTGTTTGTATTTTTTAATGTAGATGAGCAGTATGGAGCACGAGCATGCTGTGAGAGAACGTGGATATGAAGTTCGTCTTAAGGAAATGGAAGACATCAGTCAGAAGTCGACTGCTGAGCTTAGACGTCTGTTGACAGCTCAGCAAAAAGCAACAAATAGATGGAAAGAGGAAACAAAAGTGCTTACTGAAACTACAGAAGCTAGGATGAGTAAGTTGAAGTAAGTGCAATTTTGTTGTTGCTCTTCTGGCTGCTGTTACTGTATCAGTTGCTGTTTGGAGCAAGGGTGTACTCAGTAGAAAAGGAAGGAGAGCAGGCCGTGGAATAGATCATGCGCTTCCAGCAAATAAGAAGCAATGGTCTCTTGAGAACCCTCTGACGTGACTCATAATGAAGCTAGCAGCTAACAACTG